AGAAAGAAAGAAAGAAAGAAAGAAAGAAAGAAAGAAAGAAAGAAAGAAAGAAAGAAAGAAAGAAAGAAAGAAAGAAAGAAAGAAAGAAAGAAAGAGAAAGAAACGAAGAAATAAAAAGAAAGAAAGAAAGAAAGAAAGAAAGAAAGAAATAGAGAGATGGGGCGGGTGGAGAGGGGGAAGAGAGACGGAGAGAGATGGAGAATTAGAGAGAGCAGGAGGGAGAGAGGAGTCGTACAGACAGACAGACAGGTGAATGGACAGACAGACAGACAGACAGACAGACGGACGGATAGACAGAAAAACAGACAGAAAGGCAGACCAAGAATGACAAGGACGTAAAGAGGGAGGGTGTGTGGAGACAACAAGAGAGGGGGGGAGGTAGAGATGGGGAGAGGAAGAGAGGAAGGAAGATAGAGATATAATAATATATAGAGAGAGAAGGAGAGGGAGTGTGAAAAAGACGAAGAGATGAGAGAGGCAGATAGACAAACGGAGACAGAAGGATACGGTATGAGAGGAGAAAATATAGAGTAAAGGACGGGGAAAGGGGCACAGAGAGAGAGAGAGAAAGAGCGATGTAAAAAAAAAAGAGAAACAGAGAGAGAGGGAATTCGGAATAAAATCATTCGAAGTCTTTACCAAGATATTCAAAAAATTGCATTTGAAAAAGCTTGACATATTGTGAAACTCATTTTTTTATGTCACATTTCTCAAAACTAAGTATTTCAACTGAGCAGATAGAACTAAGTAATTCAAATGCAGCGATAGTGACCACATCGTGATCTGAACGCGCAACCTTTATTATGCTCTCACCCTGTAACTACAAAACTTTTCCATCACACAAAAAAGATAATGAGAGAAGACGAAGAAGTATTTTTTTAATATTATACGTAGTATATTTTTCCGCCCCCTCCTGCCCACCCAGCAGTAATGGGTACCTGACTTCCAGTTCCGGAAGTAAAGGCGGTGTAGAAAGGAACTGGCCACCCTACCACAATAATATGCCGAAGGCCCAGAAAGATGTCTCACTAACAAGGCAATCCCCAATGTCCGGATCGGATGTGGGAACAACTTTACTTTAACTTTACATAGTATATTATGTTGACTCCAGAACTTTGTAATTTGTTTTTATATTTTAAAAATATTTTTGGGTTTTTGGGGTGGGGATGGGGGTAAGGCTCTTAATTTGTTTGTTTGTTGGTTTGTTGGTTGGTTTTTTGGTTGCTTGTTTGTTTGGAAGGACTTCTTTTTTTGGGGGGGAGGGGTGCTCTTGTTTTGTTTTGATTTGATTTTTTGAGGATCCGCGCTCTGTTTCGGCTGTGATGTTTATAGAATTTTTAAAATAATTTATTTGCCCTTTTGTTCTAGTTGTACGGTTAGAGCATAACATGGCGGATGTGTGGCCTGTGTTCCACCTACCTGAGACCACCCGGTAGTTCATCTCGCCCCCCGTCCCCGTGTCCGGGTCAGTGCAGGCCGTCGACACGTCTGCGATGTGGTCACCAGCAGAGGCGTCTTCTGGCAGGGTACCTACCACCAGCCTGCACGTCTAGTAGGGAGGTGGGGGGGGGGAGAGAGAGAGAGAGAGAGAGAGAGAGAGAGAGAGAGAGAGAGAGAGAGAGAGAGAGAGAGAGAGAGAGAGAGAGAGAGAGAAAGAAATGTGAAATGACATAGGTGTAACGCCCCTATCAACAAATTTTACAGACATAAAAATACAATAATAATAATACTAACAACAGTAATAATAACAACAACAACACAACAACAACAACACAACAACAACAACAACAGCATTAACAACACAACAGCAACAGCACGACAACAACAACAAGAACAACATTAATAACAACAACAGTAACAACAACACAACAAAAACAACATGAACAACAGAAGCAACAACAACAACAACAACAACAATAGTAACAACAGTAACAGCAACAACACTACCAACAACAACAGCAGCAACAACACTAACATCAATTCTCAAACTACAACAACAACAACAACAACAACAACAACAACAACAACAATAAAACAACCAACAACAGCACTTATTACATTCACAAGACCAATGCTAACAGCAATAACAAAACTGTGTAAATGTTAA